TATGATTAATGAGAAATGAGAAATTGAATAACTTTAGACGAATATTTTATACACACTGATGATTTAAGGAAGAAGTGCATAATAATCTATGGCAAAAATGATCACGTCAGCAACAATGTAATGTAGTTACGAAACAATAGTGCTCTGCTACAATTTTTCACACGCCAATGATCTAAATAACATGTGAATGACGTATATATTATGAACCTAGTCTGTATTTTAAGGCAATATGTCTTACACATAATACCGCATTCGACCAAATATCTGGTCAAAACTACTATTGTTTTTATCGTGCTACAACTTGATCTGTCACCTGCGAGGTCTAAGCTTTAAATTTGTGAAAACTATGTTTATAAAGAGCATGTTATATAACATTCATAACTTGTTATAAACAGTGTGTGTAGAATAAAGAATTGTCGCATAGAAAACAAAGTATTTAACGCAATAGTAACGTTATTTATTTACTAGCAATAGACTCAAGAACGCATTGTGAATTTAATGAAACACAAATTTCCCGTTAACATTCCACGTCATTGTTGCCATAGAATGGCGAAAATTTGGGGGTCTAATATCGACGAACGTATAACTGATATGTATACTCTTAGCTAAGTGGTATACGCCAGATCCCCCCACGATTGTAAGAAGATAGCGCAGAATATCCTAGTCGACGTCTCCCTGTGGTCCTCTCTTATAATTGTGTTATGCTACTTTTTACAAGTATACGTTAAATCCAATTAAATTGGCGTGATACAAGCATGCTGAAAACCGATACCCAGGGTGACCTGCTCGCCAGACTAGAGATGACCTTAGAGTTGAGAGTGCAGGGTGCATGTCCGGTGCGCGTGACGAATGTATATAATGTTTTTACCCTAATCAGCGTCCGCTACTCTAACAGTCATAGCCGTGGCATGACTCTTGGAAGATTACCCATTGGCGACGCCACACCTCGCCCTAATATTGCTCGACACAAGTTGCACGACATTATGCAGCAACTTCAAAATATACACCAAAAAACGTTGAATACGATGATAAAATCACCTGTTAGCCAATCCTCTTACTTTCATATCCAACAGACGTTTTTTCTCGCGAAGACGATGCATGCGTGTGGCGGTCGCAATGGTGATCTTCAAGATCATGCCACGTCTAGATGTAGTGGGGCCGCCGCTGACACTGTCAATCTCGTCGGCATATTCCCGCGGTATTCTTCAGCATGCTGTCACGCAGTAGCAACGACAAGAGGACACGGGAGACTTCCGTACTAGATATTGCCGCTATCTTCTTAACAGATGTGGGGATCTGCTACCTTACAGTACTTCACATCGTAGGAATGGTGGCTCACGGCTATTATACTAATATTTATTAATTATGCATTTACACTCCGACGTCTTATAACATTAGACCTGCAGACTATCAAGAGTATATTAAGACTTGCCTTAAGACTAGTCATAATATACGCTTCATAATATCATTGGCGTATTAGAGACATTGGTGAATATTGGCATATTATTATGCACTTCTACTAGTATCGCATACATTATTTTAACTTGTCCGTGGCCAAACTACTAAAGTTTGGCCGTTAACGAAGTCACGAAATCATTCTTTATTTCATTTTATTGATCACTTTACACAGTTCTGCTCTAGTAAACAATGTAATGTTGCAGCCTGCACAGACTGAGTTTGGCAAGATACGACATCTGGATGATTCCACTTGCCACGCTATGCATCTCGCTGTCTTACTGGGAGAATTACATCAGTGAGAAATCTTCTCACGAGTGCATCGCCTCCTGGGCAAACATTAAGGAAGAGGTCAGGAAACTGCGGCCCAAGATCTACGTGTTCGTCACAATGTGGAAGATGCTGCTGCTGATGGCGTTGATGGTGTTGTTGACGATGGATGTCGTTCCGCGTGCAACGCTGTTCCATGCCAACATCGCCATCCAGAGCCGTACGTGGTGATCTTAATAACGGCACTTTGGCGCAGGAAACTGCACCGATGACCACGACGCGATCAACGTGTTTCTGATCGCGCGCGTTCAGCGCTGGATGTGCTTCATGGCGGGCAAGTACGCCTGCAAGCTGCTGATCCACGCGCTACAGCTTCGCGACGCGCTCGTGCTCTCGCACTGCCCACCTGCTCGGTCTACTCGTCCATCCTCAGCCACGTAGCAAACCAGCAAACGGCTGCTTCATGAAGGAGATCATGCCCCTTACCTGGACTGGAATTGGGGCCGGCGGTGCGATTTGACGGTCTCGAGCCGTGTGGACAAACTCACGGTTGGTGATCGAGCTGCTTGTCTGCATTGCGCTGATTGCCTCCCACATAAGGATCACATCGCATATTTGGTTTCCGGCATCGTGAACGTCTCGCCAAGACAATCAGTATGAACGGCTAATTTATTTGTGTTCTCGTTTACGCATTGGCGACAATGATTTTCCTCTAATGTAATTTAACTGGATTTCTATGCACTGAATATAGAGGTTAATAAAGGGTGGTGCAAACAGTCCATGCACACAGGGCATCACACTTTTTGACCATAAGATATACACAGACGATTGAATTTTATAAGACCATGCAGCCATTTTGACACTATACAAAACCATTACATTTGGAACCCTGAGCTGTTTCATTCAGATTATTATTTTTGATTCCAATAACGGTATAACCTTCAGATGTATCACACCAATTTGTTTTTAAAACTAATTGTTCATACGCTGAGTTATATGAAAAAGGTCCTTTAAGATTTTCCCTACACTAGGCACAGTAAACTCAATTTCAATTACCTACCTTGACACTCGCTTACCACCTCAGGTATATACGTTTTCTTTTAAAGATCTTATCGCAATATTCCATAGTATAATATTACATGGAATTGATTTTTATAGGGCATACCTGAGTCTATTTAATCTGTCTAACTTAACAATATGGCGCCCTGTGTTAGACTGTTATAGAAGCCGAGTCATTGTAGCGTGGCTGGCGGACGTCGACCTGGCTCTTAACCGTCGACGCGACGATGGAATACTAGTGAAGGTAAAACTTACCCAGGCTCAGCCTATTCATGCGCACATATATTCGCACTATATAGACGTACACTGCTGAAACGTTTTTCCTTACTAGGAAAAAATACAATATCTGAAATCAAGAATGAAGCATCATTTTTGTTTACTTATTATTTATTAAGTTTTCGTTGATATTTAAGAACTGTGCGCGTTTAAAAATCCAGATTTATTCATTGTTTTTCAAGATTAATTTTTGTTCACTCCCAGATACATAATAATGAGTAAGGCATAGATGCGTAGGCCATAAATGCAGCCTATTATTCTTATTATATCAAATTTATTTCCTATTCGCCGACTTTTTCTCTGCAAGGCAAGTGATTCCAACAGTGTAGGCTAGACTGCAGGTATCGCCTCGCGCGCGGCCGCATGTATACGCATACAAACGCATGTATACACAAATGAGACATCTAAAATATCCGGAATCATTCATATTCGACGTCTTACTAGTCACATTAAATATAATGCAAATCAGGCCAGAGCATTCTACTTCTCGCTTATTAATGAGGCGGCAGATCCGCGCACGATTGGTTAATCAGCCGACGATCTTGAGAAGCGCTATTCCTAACGAGAATTCAAGCTTCAGACGAGCACCTATTACTACGTGCGCCCGAAGACGGCGATGCCACGCGGGCCAAGCTAACGTACAGGAAGACGGGGTCCCGGTCAACAACAGCTACATATTCGTCTGGGATCGATAGCGATAAGTCGACTATTCCGAAAGTGTACTTTCTGCGCGACGATGTGGCAGCGAATCGACAAACGAGATTAGCAGATACTCAAGTCTATACTCAGGTGCGTGTGCGCGTGCGCGTGGATGAACCTATTGGTGTGCGTTCGTGCGTGAGTTGATCACGTCTACATGCGTATATATGTAGCGCGAATCATATGCACATGTATGCATGAGGTATATGCTGCAATCTGGGCTCGTTGTCAGAAACAAAACTAGTATTGACATTGTAGTCTGAACATTGAATTTCTCACATAGAACGTTGAAAGAAACACGGTAACGCAACGATTTTTCTCATCTGCAGTGTATAGAGCTCCGGTCGAAGAGAAAAATTTGTTATTGAGACGAATGTTAAGACTTCTGTTAAGAGACTTATTATGTTTCTAGCAAAGAGTCCTTGGGCACGTTTGGTGAGGTGTGCTTGCGACGTTTGTGTGCATTTCTGTGCTCACACGTGTATATGATTCTCTTTGGGTCCTTGCATCTACCTCCCCAAGTCCGTGCCGTGATCCCTGCGCGTGTTTAGCATCGGGCTAGCTCCAAAAACGATAAAACACCCACATGATAATAAATGGAATGTATACGTTGAGATTCACAGCCACTTCGGGCTAGTCGCACATAGGCGCGTATGTGCGCAGGTGCAGGCGCGACGATGTAGGTTTACAAACTATTATTCCACTAACATTCCATTTACTTGTGATCGTTATCTACTGAGATAATTATCTCTGCACATATCTTTAGACGTTTGCTATATCCAATAAAGGGCTTCCGATTACGCGAACTATATTAAATCGTTCCTGTAACACGTGTGAATAATTAATTGCCGAGAGATCTACATGCATTAGTTCATAGTTACAGTGACATTCATCGCATTTTTTTCCCGCGCGGCTATGACGCATTACGGCGTACTGGTTCTTTTCGGCAGATGTGATCAAGACCAAAATGCAAGACACTGTGCGATCAAGTACTTTGGTGTCGTTGACAAAGATTACTATGAGTTTGAAGGTGAGGTACAGACCTGCGTGAACCACTCAACATCGTCCCTAAAACATAATAATAATAGTTATTATTACAATAAATAATTATTATTATTATTATTATTATTATTATTATTATTATAATAACAATAATGACACATCCTGCGCAAAATCCTGCAGTGAATCCCTATGTCCCAAATTAGGACACGGGCAATCTAGACGCCACCGGCTAGTGTCGTGATCCACTTCGGAAATAATAATAATAATAATACTATACAATACTATACTATACTATACTATACTATACTATACTATACTATACTATACTATACTATACTATACTACCTGATCGTGCGGCCGTGCACGCGCCCATGCTGGGGTGGAGAGGTGCAAAACAAACGCACGGCGCGAACGCACGCACCCTCGGCACTCTACGTACGCACGACCACCGCACACGCGCACGCGTACACACTCAACAGCGGACGCACGCACGCAACCGCACGCGACGCACCGCAACGCTCACACTCACACGCTCGCACTGAGATCGGCACGAACATACCAGGCGACCGAGACGCACAAGCACGACCAGCTAACCTTGATTCATACTGCACGTAGTCCTGGGCCGTCGCTGGAGGCGTTGTGTATCGTTTCATGACATTGGGGCGCCAGCAGCGGTCGCTGGCAACGGAAGCACGGCTGAAGATCCCGGACTGCAGAGCAACCAGCCTAGCATTGTGCTCGTCGAACTTCTGCAGGCACAGTGTCCGACGACTACTCGCGTCATGAACTCTGCGTTACCAACCTCGGCCTGTCGGTCATACAACGCACCTGAATCACACCTGATCAGCATTTTCTGACAGACAACGCCACGATAAGCAAACGCAACAAAATGCCAGCAATAGTTAGCCGTGCCATGTCTTACACGAGATGGATTAGGAAATATGATCCAACTACACATATGATTTTCGATCGAAACAGCGATAAGAAAATGATACGAGTAGACGTTTTTTTGTAAGCGTATAGATGTCATACCTCATCATTGCAAAACCGATGGCTAGCAAAGATACGAATGTTGAAATAGCAAGACACATCTCTTAAAGCTGAGTTACATCTATGGTCAAGTCGACGAAAAAGTATATCAAATGGCACAATGTTTTCAACGTTCATCAACCTTTTCTATGAGATGATTCAAAAGTTTTACGTCTTATCGCTGGCGAGCTCGGCAAAAATGTTTCAACATTGACCGCACTAGTGCGCACGGGAGCCATTGATACCATTTTTTCACGTATTAATTCGCGCGACAGGTGGCGCCGATAGCAGAATACGCGCTTCTTTCCCTGTTGGAGTAACGCACCTCTTGCTTGCTAATTATCGGAGTAGCGATCAATTACAATTAACTTGATCATAGCTCGCCTGACGCAAAAGTGAGAGAAATGAACATGTTCTAGCTAAATTCCATCAGCTGCTATGCAACTTAATTTGTTAACCGCTCAATTTTACGTTACACTGCGCGCTTTCGTTAGATTGTACTAGAAATGTTTAGGCAGCTTGTCAACTATTCAGTCAAAATAGGTCTACCCTATTAAATTTAGATGAAGCATCATAGAAAATACAAGCGAGACAGGTAAAACCATCTGGTGAACGAGTTGGAGACGAGTTGAAAGCGAGACATAGATATAACGCGTCGTGAATCTATTATTCGGGAAGAAGATAAATAATTAGTTGGCAAATTATAAAAGAATGTGATCACATATTACAATCACGAATTCGTTATGAGGGCACGAAAATAGATTAATAGCATTATTCATTCAACAGATTAATCACAACAGGTAATTATAACTGTTTACCTGATCCGATCGGTGAATTCTTCCGCACGCTGCGCCAGAGACTATTAATTCCTTTTCATCAAGTCGACTAAACGTGATTACGCTGAGGGTTTAAGTCCACATCTCCATCAGAGCGAGTATACTACGTATTTACATCAGCAAACCTTTTGTTTCGTAACGCATCAAATCATCACAGGTCGTATAGTTTATATCTCGAGCAGATAGACATGTACATTCACTGTAATAGGCGAGAGCAAAATGTGATTAAGTCGTTGAGCAAATCGTTGCCCTACATCTGACCATCGCATTCACGTTACACTGATACGCTGAGGTAGAGCCCTGCCACGCTCACGTCTAGCAGAGCTCGAATTGTGTATAAACCTCGGCTTACAAAAAATGCAGCCACATATGATGGGAAATAAAATAAACAATGAAAAGAAACAGGTTATAAGGGGATTTTTAAATGGCCAAATCACATAAAGAAGACGAAAGTGTCTCCTGTGTGTCACACACGTACGCCTGCCACACGCGGCACAGCCACGCAGGCCGCACACAGCGACGCACGCACGGATACGCACGCACGCGCGTCGCGCACGCAGTGCACACACACACAACACACAACACACGAAGCACACATCACACACACACACACACACTACACACACGACACACACTCGCACGCACACACACACCATAATATATAATATTATATATACAAACATATATAGCACCTGACATAGTCAAGATTGTACAAGGCAAGATTGACCACAGTAACTGCATCTGCTCGTACTATTATGCTGTATGAATGTCCGTAAAGACGTGGTTATAAGCCTGGCTCCACCGCTTTTGTTTGCGGATTCTTTTCTTGTCTTTGAGCATGGCAATATCAGCTTATTGCCTCGGCGGTAGCAACCCATTTCGTATTTATCCCCGCCGTAGAGGTGTTGGATCTTCTTAAAAACGACGGGTTGCTATTATTAGACCGCTGTCACGGCCTTAAATATAAACGGGAGAACATGCATAATCGATTAAGTTCATTCATATAAATTTATCGCCTTTAATGGCTATAGGGGAATAAAATTTTAATTTAAAAACCTACTAATGAGTGTCAACAACTAATCTCATTGTTTGTTTGTTGTTCTAGTATGCGAGCTTGTCGCGAGATCCCCCTATAGTTACCTAATAATGAATTGCGACGTCGTCATTTCAAGAATAAACGATTACTACTTATTTGAGGGCCACAGAGTCAAAATGTGACTTCTAATAAGAACATACAATATTCGGTAGTTAGTTACCAGAGATATGCATAGCTTAGGCAGTACGTGTAGCCCCGTTACAGCAGCATTTTACACCTCAAAGCGGCCTTCGCGAATCATGACTAACACGGCGTAAGCACGGTGCTCCGCCGGGGTCTTCTCCCACTTCATAAGGGCATCACCGAAAAACACGTGGCTAAGAATCGAAAAAAAAAACGAATATTGGCGTTTTATAGGCAATGGTAACTCAGCCTATTACTTACATTAACATGTTAAAAGTTATATGCGATTATATAGCTAATTCGCTTAGTAATTAGTATGTATAGTAGTATGTATATATAGTATAGTAGTATAGTATAGTAATAGTATGGAAGTTACATAGTATAGTAGATAAGTATAATAGTATATATAGTATAGTATATCCTAGTATAGTATAGTAATGTATAAGTATAGTATAGTCAGTAAGTATAGATATAGAGTATATAGTATAGATAGTATAAGTATAGATAGTATAGTATATAGTATAGTATAGTATAGGTATAGTATAGTATATGTAATAGGCTATAGTATGAGTAAGTTATACGTAATAGTCATAGTATAGTATAGTATGAGCTATAAGTATATAAGTATAAAAGATAGATACGTATAGTATGATCAGTATAGTATAGATATACATAGCATAGCATAGCATACAAGCATAGCATAGCATAGCAATAGCATAGCATAGTCATAGCATGCAGCAATAGCGATAGCATAGCATAGGCATAGCATAGCAGCATAGCATAGCATAGCATAGCAGTAGCATAGCATAGCATAGCATAGCAAGCATAGCAATAGCATAGCATAAGCATAGCCCTACATAGCATAGTATCGTATAGTATAGTATAAGTAGTAAGTAGTAGAGTATTATGAAAGAGTATAGTATAGTAAAATGTAATAGTATAAGTACGTATAGTAGTAAGAGTATAAGTAATATAGTATAGTATAGTATTAAGTAATAGGTATATAAGTATAGCTAAGCTAGTAGTATAATAGTATAGTATAGTATAGTCATATCATAGTATAGTATAGTATAGATATATAGTATAGTATAGTAAGTATATGATAGTATAGTATAGTATAGTATCGTATAGATATATAGTAGTATAGACATAAGTATCGGTATAGTATAGTAATAGTAATAGGTAATGTATCGGTATAGTATAGTATCAAGTATAGTAATAGTATAGGTATATGTATAGTATAGTATAGCTAATAAGATAGTTATGTATAGTAATGCTATAGTATAGTATAAGTATAGTGATGGTATGGTATGGTATGGTAATGGTATAGTAATACGA